TGACGTGTTCAATACTTATTTTACCCGCTGTACTTCCATGCGTGGCTGTGTGATATATTCATTCTGAAGCTGAATTAAAGCAGTAGGCTAACTCACTAATGGTGAACATGTGCGTTTGTTAATAAAACGGCAGGCACAACAGTGATAAACGACTTTTGCGAGGGAACGCAAAAGAAAAAAAAATCTCCCATGTCCCCTCGCGGGCTCCATATCAAATGACCAGCAGGAGAAAAACGAACTCACTTTAAAGGAAAACTAATCCTAAAGCATAAAATCAGACTAATAATACTGAAACTTCGCTGAACATAAACATCTCTAAAACAAATATATAAAACCTTTACAGCTCTGAGCTGTGAATCCATGAGTCAGCTGATAAATGAAGAACAAACTCCACTCGTCCGGCACACAGATTAGTCAGCTGTCGTGTAAATGAGGTGAAGCCATGTTTAGAAAAACTAATAAGGAAAAAACAAAGAGTTATAAATATTAAAGCCTGTGATGACAGATGCAGTGCAGGTGAGCATGTTAGTACAGACACCTGGTGTGAGATCAAAACAGGAAGTAAACTCAACAAGGAATAAACATTCAACAACATTTCTCATTAAAAAATACAATAATGTGACCTCCCAAAACAAACTCTGGAGTAAAACATAACTTTAAAAAAAGACAATTTAAACTCAAAAACTGCACCAGCAGAGTTTTAAATGGAGTTTTCTGAGTGAGTCTAAAGAAAACAAGGAGGTGGACAGGAATGTAAAGAGGTGGACCCCATCAGGAGGRAAGTGATGGATGGCTGGTTGGAGGGAGGGGGCGGTGAGATTAAAGAAGGAGGGATGATAAAGGASAGGCAGAGAGGCAGAGGGAGAGATGGCAGGCTGGTAAGGGAGACAAATAATCCTGATTGTAACTCTGTCTCTCTGTGGAGCCCAGAGCCGATCGGGAGAGATGGATGAACAGATTGATGAATGAGACGGAGAGCAGGGGGAGGAGCCAAGATGGGGAGAATTACCAGGAAAGGTGAGGGGCAAGAAAATAAATAAGAAAGAGGAGGAGAGGAATAAATATGTTTAATAATGGAAGAATAAAGTGAATATGTGAAAAGAGAGTAGGGTTAATTCCATAGATCACAAGTATTTAGTGTTTTTTTTTTTTTTGCCATCTTGGTTCATATTTCCTTTGGTCAGCTCTACGAAAGAAAAAAAAATAGAATATCGACATTAATCTCAGAATTCTTTTTTCCCCCAGTGACTCTATTCCTCTTTCGTAGCCATCTTRTAATTTAATAAAATTGTTTTTAGAACTGGTTTGTTCTCCGACAGATTCAGCATGTTTTAACGTCTCTCAGGTTCTGCAAGCTGCTTTAAAATGTTTGTTCTTCACACACTAGCTGCGTTTCCATTGCAAAAACTTTGTCGATGTTCTTTTAAGGTCGAAAAACACAGTTTCGCAACTGTGGTGTTTCCATTAAGTAAGAAATGCTGTTAAAGTCACGTGTGAATACGTTTGTTCTCACGATAAATCATTACAAACATGGTGGCAATGGATGTAAACACATAGCATGTTGCTACGTCGACACTAGCGCTCATCATCAGAGGAGAAGTCGGCGTCTTTTATCGAGGCTTTCCAGTGACAAGCCCCTACTTGGGAGCGGCTACGTATGCTGTCTTCTTGGGAAACTGTAGTCGGTGAGTTTACTATTTTATACTACTTCTGCGATATTACTACTACTTCTACTTCCTGTTATCTTCTTCGTTGTCGTCTTTTTCACCAACAGAAACAGTCGGTTGTTGATCACATGACTCCCGGGATGCGAAAAAAGTG